GAACATTATTTGGTAATAAATAAATTTGACGGGTATATCGGCGGTGAGGAAAGATGAGATCTTGTCTTGAATTTGGACTGTTCGTTTCTGCGTGGTATGTAACAGGTGCTGCCAACGAAGCCCGTGAACTCATTATCACGATCCCGAAATTGAAACTGTGCAAGAATTCAGGGGTTAAATCCCTGCGATCTTCAAACGTTCCATTCAATGTTCTCAGTATTATAATAGTTGGTCAATGTAGTTTTCGTATGGTTGATCAGTTTGGCTCTTCATCGAAGATATCAAATTAATTTTATGTGAAAGCTTTTTTCCGATGATCTCCGACACATCGAAGTTTAGTTCTGCGATTACCTTCATCACTTACGATCTGTCTTATTTTATTGATCACTTTAATTCACGAACTTCCAACATGGCTATAAGGTGTTGTTGCAAAGGGCGGAATTTGCCCTCTTTCACATATCTCGCCCTAACATCTAAGGTTCTACCCATGTCCAGCAATGACCTTTGCTACGACCCTAAATCGTCAAGTTAGGATCGCTTGCTTCTCTGAATTATAGCTTCTAACTGGAGCACAGCATTCCATGGTGCTATACAATAACAGACGACATTGCATGGTGCAGTACAATTTCAGTACGTCCTTGCATGGTGCTACACAAGTGCAGCACAGCATTGCAGTGCGCTCTACTTTTGGAGTACTTCAGTGCGTGTTGTAGTTCAGTTTGCAGGCAATTACACCTGCTGGAATGTTTTCATTTGTTATACATTTGTTTTCATCCGTCTCTTGTGCTGGAAAATCTCTTAGGATGCCAATGATCTCAGTGATTTCATGAGCAGTGAGTTAGTGGTAAGGAAATTTGGCAAAATTGTCATCTACTATAAGATATAAATTATGAATGTTTGTAAGTTGCGTTTTGAGACATTGCGTTAGCGTGGAAGGAGAATTTCAACAGTAGTATGAAATCGCAGAAATGCCAGCTCATATTGTATGAATTTGATTGATACATTTTGACTATTACTTTCGATGTGCAAAATTCAGTTTTAAATTAATTCTTCTGCAGAAAATGTTAAGTGCGGAAGTGTAACACTCATTCCTGATGAAAATATTTTCAGCTTTTCCGCTGGTCGAAAATAAATCAAATGATACGTTAGCATAGTTGGTGTTTGTAACGTTGAACGATGTTGCTGGCGTCGATACTCCTGAAATATGAACCTCTGTCCTGTTGTACTGTTGCCTTGGCTCGTGAACTGGAAAGCGGATTCCAAAGGATAATCAGGATATGATTGATGTTACAGTCAATGCATATCAGTAATTAATCCTGGAAATCTATCATTTGTTATCTAAATCAGTGTTAATGACGAGTGAAAGATACGTGCTGAGACTGCTGCTGTTCTTTAAAGGTATCATTGTTTTCACTTAAAACTCGTCTGGTCATATTCATCTCAAATGACTGTTTCCTGTTATTTTGTTGAGAGGTAAATTTTGATGTACGTTTGCCGCTGCAACTTTTTCAGTTGACGGTGCAGAGCAGTGTATGAGTAGCACAATACAACATGTCTGTGATCGTAAGTGCTGCAACGATGGTTACCTCGTGATTTACGTTTGTGATTGACAGGTTCAATTTTAATTTCGTATCATGATTTAATGACTTGCATATCAAATGGTTAGCGATTTATTTGAGTGTCTTGGCCTGGTTCCCAGATTTTCTTCAATCACGCTGTGGTCACCGCATCAGACTACCATCCACCGTTTGCTTTACAGATTTCTCCAATCAGAGCCGTGTTAGAAACTCTCGTTAGTCTCTCATAAGTAACGTGTTTTTATAGGACTAACTTGATCACATTCTCGTGAGTATGTTGAGCCTGGCCAATGGAGTCGTAGTAGTGACACCGAGCCCGTGCCGATATGCTCATTGCTGAAGCTGCTCCGCACCGCGGGGTCGGCTGCCGCCCTTCTGGGAATACCTTATTTAGTGGATATTCAATAAGAATTTTTAATTTTCCGGACAAACTTAGGAAGAAACAGCTGATGTTGGAGTATTTTTTGTGTGCTTAGTTCGACTGTCCCACCATCGCATCCCAAGGGACCTGTTGCACTTCAAGGTACTTCCCTCGGAAATGTATTGCCGCTCGAAAAAGAATGGCGACTGGAAGAACTAGTCTCGATGGGGCTTTCGAACTCTGTTTGGTCTGTGAGTGCATGCGTGCGTTGGTGATGTGGGCTAGTGTAGCATTCTCACACCTTTGTATTGTTCGGAGTGACCACACAAACCCCCTATCCAAACAAAGCCCTTCTCCCTTCCTCACCCTCGCTGCTCTCGAGCGTCCCACCCTGCGCGAGCTTGGCTAGCATTCCAGCGCCTGTGTACGACCGCCTGCTGCTGCCCTGATACTGCTGCTGCTACCCTGATACTGCTGCTGCTGCTGCCCTGATACTGCTGCTGCTGCCCTGATACTGCTGCTGCCCTGATACTGCTGCTGCAGCCCTGATACTGCTGCTGCTGCCCTGATACTGCTGCTGCTGCCCTGATACTGCTGCTGCCCTGATACTGCTGCTGCCCTGATTCTGCTGCTGCTACCCTGATACTGCTGCTGCTGCTGCCCTGATACTGCTGCTGCTGCCCTGATACTGCTGCTGC